TTGGCGGCAAACAAGTGCTATGAATCCTCGCTATCGTTGTAGCAGGAAAAATAGACAGCGTGTGTTACGTGATTGGCTTATATAATAGAGAGTTGCTAACTCTCTGCTTATACAATACGTTCGTCCAGGTATCATCAGGGATATGATTATGAGAGTTTTAAATCTCATATCCCTGGTATCATTATCTCCCCATTTGTCACAAATTACTTTAGTTTCTGAGCAAATTAAATTAGTATTACATGTACTTTAGCTTGTTTTGGTTAATTACTCTTAATTTACTCATACACGCTTCCGTAGGAGTCGGGTACCTTAAAATAAAAAACATCAAACCACCAAACCATCAACTCTTGGTTGGAAAATGTTGGGGGTACTCATGCAATTCGGTGACTGGCACATCCACACGTCGTGTACTTTGCGACCCCCCCCCCCCCCGCACACGCGCACACACACACACGCACATCCCACCCGGACCTAAATGCGGAAGGACATTGCTTTTTTCACATCACACCATGGACCTATGTAACTGTAAGCTCCCTCACAATATACTCCGCTCAAGTTGGCTCTGGTCTGGTGTGGTTTAGTGACGACCATAATTACCTTCATGGATTGGCTAACTCCCACCACAATTTTATCTGCTTGGAACCAGAAAGGCGTTGTCTCTGTGTAAAATGGGGTGAGCTAACGTCCTTCTCGCTCCAGAAAGATGATTTACTGTATGACTGCACGGTCGTACACATTTAACGAGTAAATGAGACATTTACGTCACTACACTTTCAAGAGGATGTACCCCCTTGAAGCAACCATGGACCTAGGTCCATGGTTGCAACTGACGACAAATTTAGATAATTTAAAAAACAAATTAATTACGCTGGCGCATGCACTTCAAGGTAAGAGAAGAGAGGTAACTGAATTTGTATAATTTCTTGCTGACAGCACAACATTCTGAAATTGAATCTCAAGGTCTTATTTTAGCTTTCTTGCCCTTTTATAACCTGGTCGTAAACGAGGGACTAAAAATACCTTGCTGAAATTGGAAGGGCATCCGGGGCACTGAAGTTAAAGGCAAGGTGTAGAGTTTTTTTGGTGGTAAATGGCCCTGTATCACGATGGGCCATGGCTTACAGTTATGATGATCTTAGTAATAAAGAATATAATCATGAATCCTAATAATATTGGGTTGTTCTTGGAAAAGGTCAGCCCGAGATAACCACTTTTGCCTAAACTGACAAGCAAAACAGGTAAAGCAAATACAGAACAAGGGTACATTATATTATATCTTACACAGAAGCGGTCCTATACTGTCATCGTTCATGCATTCCCCTTTGTAATATCATTTAACATGCTTAGACGACGATCGCACACACTTTCTAAGTACACGAATTACACAACCTAAGGTAATTTCAATAGCCATGATTGTAACTTACTGTGCGAACATTACAACGATATAAAACATAATGTTAACTGGATTTCTATAATATAGGCAATACTAACCATGGCATGGCATAGGTATTGGAATAACCCTGAGGTCATTTATTGAAAGTCTTTTTGATCAGGATTTAAGCATCGGCTGTGAACATGTACAATGTTCCCCATCTCTGACATGTTGTCTTCTAGTAATTTTATGGCCTACTTCATTGGAATCTATGCAAAACTTCGTCGTCATATTTCAAAAAGTTCCCAAAATACTTTTGAAACCAACTTTCTTAACTTCTGTTGAAAGGTCGTCAACCACGATCTGCATAACAATTTATCATCACCTGTTTCGTGTCCTTGCGAAGTTTTTGACATCATTTTTGGAATGTTAAAACCCCCAGCAATTAAACGTAAAATCCTTCAAATACCGCTGGTATAGCTTGTCGGCGGGTTGGTGGATACGGGAAACAGCCGTCACTTTTACAATGCACGTCTAAAGTTTTTAGGTTAGGACTTGGGACTACATTGTATTCTGTTTAAGCCCCGTCTTATGCGGTTGATCTGAGTCAATCGCAAGTCTTCTAATCAATCGCAGTTAGCAGTCGCCTATCTAATAATAGTTACGATCGATATCGATCGCAACTCTTTAAAAGACGGGGCCCTACACTTGCCATTGCACCATAACCATTTCCACTTTCTATTGACTACAAAAATTACAGTCAAGTTTTAAAAACCGCCTACTACTTTTTAGATCAGCATTATCCGTCTCATTTTGAAGGCAGCGAGTAGATTTCCTAAAGACAGAATTTCCATACGCATTACGCAGATGAAATATAAATTTCTTAGGTCAATTTACTGATATGTAATGTGATAATTGTTGTTGGTTATGTTCTATTTTTGTTACATTGAACAAACAGAATAGTGATAAGTTTGTTGTGTAAATACTTGGTGAATATCTAAAGATTTTCGAAAGACGAAGGTGACTTTCGAGAACTGAAAACAGTTGAAAGAAAATGAAATTTTGTTGCAAAATAATATCATGATTCTACAAAGATGTTTCTGAAACTGGTTAACTAAGTAATCATCCAATAATCATGCAGCCTCTGTGGAGCGACCAATATGTAATCTTACTTTAAAATGGAAAAACGAAGATCTTCAGAAAGTGAGTTTTGAGTTAAAAACAAGGTCTGTGCCATGAAGAAACGTCAAATGCTCCCTGACCTCATGACCACCCCTTCATGAAATCTCATCTTCGAAACTCCTCCATAAGATGCTCGATGTCCCCCAATGGTTACTTCATCTAGCTCCAACTTCAAACGAACAGCAAATCTCTCATCCCCTACCAACAGGTGTACACAAGTACAGGCAAACAATTCACTCTTATAATGGACCTTTACGAGGACCTCAGATCTACACTCTACAGGGGAATCTACAGTACATGTAATAGAAAAAAGAAGATGATTTTATGGAGGAGAAGTCTGTTGGGGTGGTTTTTGGTCGTACAGACAAAATAAATCTAACTTTCGAGGGTTAAATTTATCATGTTCTTGGGGGAAATAGGGGAAATGAGAACTTTTTCCTTGAGTGTATTTCATTGCACTGATTCATCATTTAACGGACTGGTTCTTGCATCACGTTTACGTAATATAATAGCTTAACGATTCATTGAACTATACCACAATTTATTTATTGGAAAACTCAGCGCAATAGTACAAAACCAACAAGATTACCACATGAATGGGTAAAACTAAAATAAATAGGGTAGACGGGTAGCCAAATTGCACACTGGTACCCCTTCTCCGAGCTCTCAGAGTCCATTGCGGTATAGCTGGGAGCACAACTCTGCCCCATCTTTTGTATGCCTAGGAGATTCCACCAGTTCTGTTAATCCCTCTAACACAACTTGTTTGTTCAGGGGGACCCAATCTAAATGTTGGTTCGCTTTTACAAAAAACGTAATGTTTGACGGGCTTCCCTGGAAAAAGGCTTCGGCTCGGTATGTTTGCCGAACGAATATCGTGAAGGGGGCAAAAACCTCTTTTACAAATACACATAAGGCTCTCCTGTGCTGGAGATGAAAGAGAGGTAGATCTAGACTTTAGCTTTGGGATAAAAGGACTCGTTTTTATCACAATAAAGCATTACGTGAGCATATTACAGTGGAACAGAAAACGAATTCTACCACCGTCTTTTGGGGGGGGAGGGGGGGGGGGAGCAACTTCAGAAAGGGAAGACATTGTAAGTCAGATCGCTTCGGGATATTGCATAGTGATAGATTTCTTTAAAAGGTGTTGATTGAAAAGAAAGAAAGGGGGAGACAAGAATAAAATGCGTATTTCATGACACCGTAAGTGAAGACATGACAGCGTCGCAATAAATAAGTTGCAGTTTACTCAATATAATCATGAACATTTACCTGCTTTCAAATTGAAACATACTACATGTAAATGCTCACCTTCATTAAATATAATCAAAATTTAGAGAAAACGTAAGTTCCAACAAATAAAAACAAAAAGGTACACAGGAGCGGAGAGGAGTTTTATGTCTAAAATGCTGCAAAAGTGGAAAAGAACCGCGACAAAGAAAATGTAGTACTAAATAACATAAACTAAAGAAAAAAAAAGGGGGGAAAAGGATTACGGGGAAACTTTCACTATAACACTGAATAAACTTAGATGAATTGAAATCGGAAGAACTGAAATAGTTATGAAACTATTTTCAAACAACACATTTAGAAAACAATCGCTGTAGGCCGCGGCTATGTCACAATGCTGCATGCTGTAAGACACGAGTGGAAAAACAAGGTTCGACATAAACACAAATAGGAAATTGGTTTACCAATACCAAGGTTTCTTTCAGAGATTCAAATAAACTGTCATGCAGAATGTGTCATTCAGATCGGTAGCGTGAAGCGTGTCTGTGAAAGTAATCACGAAAAGAGAACACGCAGGGCTTCAGTGAGTCCCATCAGAATGGAATCTAGATAACAAACAATTCACAAGGCCTCCTGCCTGATGTACTAGTAGACGAAACGGAAGAATGCTCTGGTTGCGTTTTCCTGCACTCATCCAGCTTTCATCGACTCTTCGGTTTATGGCTTACATATGTATAAAGAAGCCATGTTAAAACACATTGTCATGTGTATGTGAAAATAAAAACAAACATTCTTTGTCTACTTCTCTGAGTTCTCTCACATTGCGATGCTACTCTTTATATACCTCTTCATGCTTCACCCATGCCTGCATGGCTTCCCCAAGGCCCGCATGGCTTCTCCGAGGGATTTCCTGAACTTTTCTATTAACTTACTAATTACTTCATCTCTTCAAACTCGACTGCATAAAGTATTAAACTAAGATAATGATTACAATGCATCTTGGTTAAGTTGCTTAGAGTTAGACCGGAGAGCTAGCTAGAGTAGTGAAAATTGTAAACCTATCACTTTTATTAGCCTGTGCAAAGTTTTCAGGGCTGCTGAAATTGTAACCTTAAAATTTAAGGCTTACATTGACTTTAATGCACGATTGAATTCCTCATAAATCCAAACAAAATATCAGTTTACAAATACAAGTAGATACATTCAAACAAACCTTTTATCCCTGGAGGTTGAACCTATCTCCGAGCTCCGAGCACTCGCCTGGTTATACAGGATTTCCTCCCCTTCTTCTCCAATAAAATGGTATAAAGAGGTAAACCTGAATTTAATGGAGAGACGCCGAAACTGGAGAAGAATATCAGTCACTTTCTATCAAAATAGAGTCATGGGTAGTTATCCCACCAATGCAATTGGACCTTGAATCTTTCAGAAGTATTTCCACTCGATGCCTCAATTAATGTGGAGTAAACTTCTCCGCTATTCTGCGAGATGCAGAAAAATCGAAGAAGAACGCGTCTCTTTCTGCAGCTAACTCAAATTATCCAATCGTTACCACAGCAATGCATGGACTCCTCGCCGTGTTCCAGGCATGGTACGGTATGAAACACATACAGGATAGCGGAGGTAACAATGCACCCCTGTACGTGCTCTCGCGGGGAGCACTCCTAAAGCGAACGCACACTCTCTTTTGGGGGGGAATGATTACCCCTACTTACGCAGGAATTCTAGGCAATCCCTCGGGAGGGGCAAACTTTGGGTGGAGTGGGGGTATTTTTGAAGGGAGAAGCATGAAAGAGAACTAAAGTATACATTGTGCCGAATTTTGAGTTCAGTTATGCCAGGGATATGAGAGTTATGCAGTGGAGCCTTGAGGAAAATGCCCACATGAACACATGGATAAATCAACTTATTGTGTTTTCAATGAATGTGAAAATGTATACTCTTCATGATTTCCTTTTCGATGGCACAATAATTCAAATGAAACCATGCATTCCCCGGCTCCTGTGATACCAATGCAGGTTTCTTAGTACTATCGTGACTGTTTATGTGCATTGGTGAATGGACATGTTATGTTATGTATCAACTCTTTTATCAACATATTCCTCTAATATTTGTTTGGGCGTTGAATAATTTACTTCGTTTTGTACGCCAAAAAAAGTAAAACACACATGTTTACTTTGCAAAGACAATTTTCGTTCCCGTGGATTTTGGTACACTATAAATCTATAATAGACCAATAAAAAAAGATACATATTAATGGGATAGAGATAGTAACACTTCAACTCTTGTTATACAATATCAAGAAAGGGAATCCTTTGAAATATCTAGGTAAAGTTATGTGACAGTCTGATTCTGTAATATGGTGCAGAGTGTGCACTTCTCTACCAACATAGGGCACTTATGGTCCAATCGCTTCCGTTCAATGCACTTATTGTATAATATTAGTAATGAAAAACTTGCACATCGAAAGAAGCAATTATCTTGTGTCATCAGCCCTTGGCGTGCAGAATGTGTTTTCGGACCCGAGAAACTCAGAAATTGTTGGCTTAATACAACGAAGAAATAAAATGGAAGCACTATCAAGTCTTTCTTATTGCATGATCTCCTTTTAATATGATATGCACATATTTAAAGTTATCTTGATCGGGGGAAAGGGCGGCTCCAGGGGGCGTAGGGCGCACGCCCCTCCTTTTACTTAAAAAAGCTAAGAAATATTCTCATACATTTTCCGTCGCGCTCGCAATTTCGTAAATTTAACGCCCCCCCCCCCCTTTGGAAAATCCTGTATTCTGTGAAAAGGAGAGGGTTACGATGCCTAACAAATCTCCGACAAGCAGAATGTTTCTCTCTCTCTCTCTCTCTCTCTCTCTGAGAAATTCAGTTTAAAATGGGCATGGGCCATTTGTGTCCCTTAAAATTGTGAGATAGAACTTGATCAGTTTCATTTAATCACTTCAATATGACCCTTACCTTTAATGGGGGAAGAACATTCAACTTGAAGATGAGCGGATGATGGAGGGGGTTGCTAGAGAGCCAGAGCTGAGCGAACAGCACGATATTCCTGTAAGATGAGAGGAATCGCACGATGATTCATGAAAGCCACCCTCTGAAAAACCCTTCCTTTCTCGTCATGGTCATGGTTTGGCACTGATAGATATGACATTAAGGTGACATACACAGAATTAACATCTAGTTTTCTCTTCCCCTCCTTTTTTGTTGATATAACATGTGATAACCGTTCTAAAATGAAATATAAAAAGAATTTCAGAACATCTAGACAATGGAGTTAACAGAAATCATTAACAAAATGCACCTTCAGCTTGTTTTAAGCCTGCGTATAGTGAATGTACAAGTTAGACAGGAAAAATATTAAACAACATGGACCCCGTAATCACTTTTGAAGACAAAAATCCGGACGAGACACTTGGAATCATTAATATTGGGCCCCACGCTCTATATACCGACTTAGGGTACATTATATTGTTGATTGCTGGTCATATATAATGTAGACAGGAATATTTTCTCAATGTGAAAAACACTTTTCTTTCCTGTTTAATGTCACGCGAAATGCAAATAGGAAACAGTTTTTATTATTCGTTATTGTTTTTGGTTGAGGAAACATCAAAATGTCTGCCGGTACTCATAACAAAATGTGAACGAACTATAAAAGAAGAAGATAATGATGAGAGCTATTAACCCTATAGAGACATGTTTCTCTTGTCTGTACCGGGGGTTTTAGATAGGGCGCGCTTCCTGTCAATCTTAACGACCTCACCTGGGATATTTATACAGCAAATTTATCAAAGTTGGATTCATGAATGAACTAGCATTCACTTTCCTATATAATATAAGGAAATGAAACCAAATAGAGGCTTAAAGATATTATGTCCCTTTTGCAGCCATTATCAAATTCTGTAGAACTTTGCAGGAATTATGGATATGACATGTACATCCTATCTGTGAAATTTAAATATTAGCAGTGTCCTAGTATTCAAATTATGCAAGGGAACCCGTTTACTTTCTAAACTTTCCTGTCAGACACTATTGAGTGACTGACTGACACCTTGTTTTCTTTGGTAATAACATTCATAAAATGAGCTGTAACGATGGTAACAGGAACATGAGCATTTGTCTACATCAATAACCCACTACTTGTAATGGCCAAAATTAAAATGATTAAATCTTTGTGCAGCACAAAACGTACGACTATTCGGTACAAGGGTCTGAAAATCAGACTATTACTATCATTACTATATTACTATTGGACCAGGTGGTTATTCCCCACAAAAAGCCATTTTCAAACCCTTTCGTTTTGAGGGAAGTTCTAAATAAGTAGTCTTTCAAATGCCGTTGAAATTTAATCTTTTCATTTTCGACCTGCAAATAGGACATAGTACCTTTGAGGAAATGGAACCAAAATAGCAAATATGGGAGTGTCGTGGTCGAGTGGTTATAGGCGCTTGACTGTAGATGCGAAGGTCGAGGGTTCGAATCCCGACACTGCACTAATATCCTTTGGCAAGATATTTACCTGCACTTACTACTCTCCACCCAGGTGTTAAATGGGTACCCGGTAGGATGCGAACGTTCATGTGGTTGGACGAGCAAGTGTGCGCTTGTAAAATGGCGACTGGCTGGAATGCTCCCCAGGGAGTGGAAAATGTGCACACACTGTGTGCGGGTAAGCCTGAATCCGATGACCGGGGTAATGATATATCTGTAAAGCGCTTAGGCATATCGTTGGATCGGTGTATTGAGCACTATATAAAAACGGATTATTATTATTATTATTATTATTATTACTAAAGCCCCACTGCACTACGTATAGCTACATCCGCCCTCTTTACAGCCAACAATGCCTAAGCGGTACCCGTTGATCCCCCATGATGCCCATTTTCTTATGTTAATTGAGAGCTGATTTGATGAGATAACCACCTGTCAGTGACCTTGCAGGGAGGTCTAATCCCTCCTGGCCAAACTAGTGCAGAGGGGTTTTCAAAAATTTAAATAACGTTTTGCTAATCAAAAGCGAAATGAGAGAATTTGATAACATTGTCTTTGCGGTGTTTGATGATAATAATGACACAATAATGAACTATTTTTAATAGATCTACTAGTATATGCCTTCCAGATTTTATTCATGCTATTAAAATAGAACATGAAAGAACATCTCCCTCTTGCATGTGTTTCATATTAATTATTTCAGTCGATGCTTCTTGAGACAGCGTTTCCATGATAATAGGTCTACCGGTATTCAAAAAAGTGAATATGAAAATAATATGAGACAAAATATGAGAAGCTGATTTAGAGACCTGTTGAAAGGGGACACGGGGATCGAGTGACACCACGATTCGCTCACTTTTGTTATGTTTTTGGACTGCTTTACGAAAATCCTTTTTTTTTTTAAATCAATCATCCTATTATTTAACATAGCAAATAGGGGAGGTTTAAACTCTTATACTTTGCAAGTAAATCAGTAAATAGAACATAACCGTGTCTAGTGGTGTTTACATGACCCAGTAAAGTACCTGCTGTTTTCTATTTTTGTTTTATCATGACGATTTTGTTTTCAATGCCCCGCTAGACTATTAACACGCTGGGTGCGTCCTGTTTATATGTGATATAGAGTAATACCTGCCAAAAAGCAAATTATTAACCTAGATTTTGTTGTTAATCAGATCAATTTGTCTGCAACATTTCCCTAACGACAGGGCGGAGTATATTGCCTCATTGAATTAATCACTTTCCTTCTTATTTAATCTTGAATTGGTTCAGGTGAGCCAATATTTGTAATCTTAGGTTGAGAAGCTGATTTAAGGAAATCTTATCAATAGTAGAGAGCTGTGGTGAGCTGCATATCCTGACTGCGGTGTTTGGCTTAATGGTAAATAGTATAGATACCGCTTAATGTGTCAATGAGGTTACGATTGAAAAGGTATAAATGAAAACACGAAATATAACAGACTTCATAAAAATATAAAGAAAACGAGGCCTGACATTAAAGGGATAGTTGAGTTTTGTTGCAGAGGGCGCTACACAAAATATTCTTTTGTGAGATAATGAAAAACTGAGTGTCAGCTTTGAACAAAACATACAATTTAAATAACAAAATCATCTTTGTTTTGTTCAAAATCGGTAAAGAGACGGCTAAAATATCCATAAATATAACCATTTCTAATATTTGTGGGGCCCCACAAAATATTCAATAATTATGAACCGGCATCCGTTGAAAAAACGAGATAGCGCCTTATACGTTTGATTCCAGCCAATCCCAATGTTTGGTTTTTGTTGGCTTTTTCGGGTTGATTGTAATACGAAAAACCAGCCAACCCTTGTATTGTTAACATTAATTAACTGCCACCGTTTTTTTTAATAGGGCTGAAATGGTATGATTGTATTTAATTTAAATTTCACACATTTTGGGGTCTGACATTACTGTCATAACAATTTTAGGTCCTAAAAGGCACTATAAATGTCATAAATAAGATTAAGAGGAATGACCATGCACTTTGAAGGCATTTGCGGTCTTAAACAAGAACTGAACTATCCCTTTAAAAGCACACAAACGATTAAAAACACAATTAAACCCACTTTAACTTAGCGACCACATCTGTCT